TTTATTTAGTTCAAATTTTTTTCGTATTGGATTTAATTATAATCTGAAAAAATTTGAATTGATCTGAAATTTTTTCAGATTAATTTTGTTATAATCTAAATTGAATAAAATAAATGGAAAAAATTTTAGATTGGTCTGATCCGTTTGATGTTTTAATTTTAATAAGTATTTCAAAATATGATGATTGCAAAAATTTTATGACTTTAGTTTAGAAGTTCTTAATAAATCAGAAAACTTACATAAATATAAGGTTCTTTTTTATGATTTGATATAATATAATCCAAAAGTAGTCTGACTTTCTACAATACAGAAGTTATTAGTAAAAATTATTTCTTTTAGTACTAATATCTTTTAGTAAACATTCAGTTAATTCAGTTATGTATTTTAACAAAATTTCAGCTTAAGTTATAAAAATCAATAATTATACATTACATTACATATAATTTAGCATGATTTTAGTATTAATACCCTTCGATTATTATATTTAGCAAAATTTTAGTTAGATTTAAATTTGGCAATATATCTTATATCTTATTGGTTAAAATTAGCTGAGCTGTTTTTTACGAAATTTATAAAATTCTAATCAAATAAGAATAATCATTCCAAAAAAAAACAAATGAAATTTTTCTAAAGAAATAATAGAAATCTTCTCAAAAGAAATAATATAATCTCATAAGAAAATGAATAAAATTATTCTTAAAGAAATAAATAGATTAATTTTTAAAGAAATAATAGAATTTATTCCAAAAGTAACAATACTATTATTTCTAAAGAGACAATAAAAATCATCTTTAAAGGAATAATACAATTATCCCTAGAAAATCATTGTTACTTAAATTAAAATTGCTAAAATAAATAAATCTAAGACTAAACACAAGAAATCATGAGTAGGATTCATAATATTATCAAAGATTATTCTCAATTTAAATACAGTAGCTTCTAGATATTTCAGAGATTACATTTTAATGACTACACCTTAAGTCATATATATGTAATAATTATTTGCGTATATTTGTAGGATTCATTACAAAAAAATTGATTATAAAATTTAAATGACAATGAGATTATACCTTTGATCTATTATATTAGTACTTAAAATTAATCCGATCTAAATTAAAAGTCAAATTTCGATCGTGTTACCCAAATTATGTCATCCGCACCAAAAAATTTTTTCCCAACCTCCACTCTTCCTTTGACAATAGCAATAGCTTCTTGATCGGGATAGTCTTGGATTCTTCATTGTATGCTCGCTAATATGTGTATAAATGTCAATTAATTTATTCGGCTAATGTTCGATTTCGATATGCTATAATCGAATAAAAATGAATCCAATATTTATTATAATATACTTGTTACAAACTGATATAAATCACTAAAAATCACTAAAATGATATAAATCACTAAAAACACTATTTTATCGCTTAAACATTTATAAAGATGGATTTAGATAGTAATGCCTACTATAAGCTTTGTTCGCCAGATCGTATTTATTATATCTTGCTACTATATTTAAACTGGTCTTTATTGAAACTTTAACGAAATATTAGCGTCATGGTAGATACGAATTTAAAAATTTTTGACGACACTGCTTTGTCGCAAAACCCCGGGTTTCTGATCATTTAATATTTCATTAACATGCCGTTGCGAGATTCGGCTGATTCATATTGATCATTTTACGACTAACGTTTATGCATCAAAAAATAAATACTAATCTTACTATGAAATATATAGCAAATAAATGATCTTAATATATTTATCGTATTTTTATTTAATATTTAGAAATCAATTAATTATAAAATTGTAGCGACGGTTTTGACAAATTTTGTGAACGTAACATTTAGTAAGGTTGGACTCTAATTAATTACCTTTAACGCTGATTGCTGTACAAAAAACTTTCAACAACCATTAAAACGAATCATATAAAAATAATTTCTATTTGGAAAGAAAATGTGTCCTACTATTTTTTTTAGACACGACGAGAAATTTTGGAAAGAAAATAAAAATTTTAGCTCTCTTGAGATTTGTTACTTTCCAACACATAATGTACTTAATTTTTATTGGTTCATCAATTTACTTGTTTGTGATTTCATTTATCAATAAGAATTGCCTGAACACGATCTTTGAATAAATTTCCTAGCCTTCATAATTCTAGAAATTGCTTACTTACATGATCAGGAGATCAAGCTTCTCCCAAAAGATACTCATTAAGATCTGGGGTAAAAAATAATTCCTATCATATGAATGAATTAATCTCTTGATTAATTCCTTAAATTTCATGATGGATTTATCATATTTTTTATTAATCACGAATTACACAAAAAATTTGGTTAATATCGCTTCCGAAATTACATTTATTATTGTTTTTTTTTAAAAAAAAAAAATTTACCAAACAATCTAAATATAGAAATTTTTATAAATCAAGCTTTAGAAATCTAAAAAAAAAAAAATCTCGACTTTTTGATCAAAAAGATGCTCGATTCATAAACAAAAATTTGTTTCCACACACATTTTAATGGAAGGTCAGCAAAAAAAAAAATTAAACGCCCGTTATAATTGGTTTATTTTCTAAAAAAAAAATTATATTTTATTTTTTTTTTTTTTTTGAATTTCAAATCATTTTTATTGAATAATTTTAATGTTGTTTTACATATATAATGACGAAGATTTTTAGATATGGGTTGATGATTTTGATGGTATTAGAATATTTTACAAAGTATTAAGTTAAATTAATTAATATAACAAAAAAAAAAAAAAAAATCTATTAATTTCTTTTTTTTTTAATTTCTAAATTTCTACAGGATTATTTATTGTCTTTGATTTCAACTTTATTCTTCTATCCTTCACTAATAGTGTCGTCATCACAGGTGTCATTTGGATCCTCAATTGATTCATCAATTCTTTCTTCAACCTTTAAATTATTATTTCATTTGGGCCTTCAATTGCTCTTTCAGCAGCAATACTAGAATTACCGTTTACATCATTATTTGCACCGTTATTATTCATATTATTTGAATAATCATGATCAACTCTGTTCATTTCAACCGAACGTCTTTTTGATTTTTCGAAAGAAAATGTATCATATCCTCGTCCAATAAGACTGAATAATATTGAAACACCGGCAGATATTAATGAAATCACTGGAATGGGATCATATATGATGCTATTTTGTTGTAAATATATGACCTACAGAAATTTATATAAATACATCAGTACAAAATTTTATACATAAGAAGAAAATAATAATAATATTTATTAACGTGAACTCACTCGGATAATGAATTGAGGTACATCCTCAAGGAAGATATTTGCAAAGCTTCCCAAAAAGATGAAAAATTTGTCATTTTCTGATAATGGTGCACTTAAACAATTCAAATTGCATATATTTGATGTAATTATATTCAACAATTCTACGTCGGCTGAAGATAAAACTGTAATTATTGCTACTAAAAATCTATTACTCTTGAACCATTCACTACACGTTTCTTTGTGCTCTTTAAAGACTATGTACAATGCCAAAAATATGTTGAAAGCCGTAGGCACTACTAAGAACACGATGCTAAAAAATAAAATGTAAAAAAGAAAAATATGTTATGGATATATAAATAAAAGTAACGAAAAACATCAATGTAAAATTTAAATATTTACGATGGTATCAATAAAGAGGAAGTCATCTGTGAATTATGGACGATGAACAATATATCCAAAACAAAGTCGGTCAATATAAAGGCCCCCGTAAATACAAACATGTTTCGGGCCTAAAAATACAAGGAGTGACTGTTTAAATTTAATTACATCAATAAAATTCTTATCGGAGCACAGATAAATTGCAAGTCCTTACTTTTTTATTTATATATCTTGCCAAACCATATAGACAGCTAACAAATAAGAATCCGCATAGAATAAAAATCAAACCGAACTTCAATGCGCTATTCAATCCCTCGGCTATTAAAATTAAAATTATAAAATTAATTGCAATATGTAAAAGAAATTTACTTCGTTTTATGTGATGATAACTTACCCGTTATAACAATACCGTAATTTTCGTCCAACATGCTAGATAGGGGATATCGTGCCACAAGGGTGGAATGCTTGTTGGTGATCAAAGCGCCCAGATCACTGACGATATCCTTTGCGCAAGGCCTTGTTGATTCATTTGGCTGAGATATTTTCACTTGCAGCAATATGAGATTATTTGAATCAACAGGATCACTTTGAAACCTTCCTGTATCTGGCAATCGGGTTCTATCAACTGGAATGATCTCAGACAATTCGTTCATCAGGTCATTATAAAATGCATCAAAATCTTTTATTTTAAGTGTTTTAAAATATTCAGTCCCTTTGGCATTTAATTTTACCAATACAGTGACCGATGCTAATAACAATAAAGGAATTCAATAAACTTTCTAAATAACACAATCACATATAATAATTCATCACTTACATTGACATATAGTAGTCGGTTCCTCAATTGAAGTGTTTAAAAACCATACTCTCTTATTAATTCCCGATATAGCCTCTCCATATCGTTGCGAACTAACAAAATCGTCATTGATTTGGATGAAATATGTAGAATTCAGGCTATTGAAAGTACTGGACAAAACCTTTATGAAAACTGTATCGTTTTCCACCGAAACAGCATTAGATAAGCCTGAATACGATTGACGTAACAATTCATTCATATTATCAATAACCTGATAAATCGATATATTTCCCGATGAGAGTATTATAGGTTTATCATATTTTATGGTGATTTGTTCATCTTTTGATCTAATCACATCATCAGTAGGTGTCGTTTCAAGGATGCTTGGGTTTCTGTGTTTATAGTCTTTATAAAAGATATTTTTGTAAATACTTTAAATAAATAATAAAAATTGAATAAAAATGTGAATAAATAATAAAATCAATAGCTTACTAAACTCTATCACACGTAATTTATCTGTCATTATTGTCCAGGACTCGGGACTTTGTTGGAATAACATCCCCCACATCGTGTCATTATGTTCAAGATACCCGAACTGTAGGACTTCACCGGGTAAACCTTTCCAGTCACCCTCGTAATCACCACTTTGCGTCAAGAATACACCCGACTTTACACTATCTTGCATAGGCTCATAGACAAGTAGAAATCCGCCATTAAATAAAACACTCACAGCCAATACTTCTCTTTTTTTGGAAATTTCGAACGAATCTATTCTTTTATTACTTATCACGGATCCGGAGGTTAAAAATGTGATCAAATAATATACTTTATTTGTACTAACTTCAGCTTGTTTCGCTGCGGTTATTAATGTTTGGATGTTCATTAAACATTTATATCCTTCTCCATTTGAATTTCGACAATGGACAAACTCTATTCCATGCAAATTTAACTGACTTTGATATAGTAAATATGGAAGGCTGATTTCCACTGCGCTTTTATCTATAAAGAATGCGTTTACTTCCCAAGAAGGATCTGAAGCATAAAATTTATTTAGCTTTGTCACAATGACGAGACAATTCCCGCCATCACCCGAGCTAAGCATTTTGTATGATTGAATGATTGACGATGGATTTGGAGAGTTAATTAGCCCTGATCCCAATTTCAAAACTTGCTTTTGATTTGAAGGACTAAATTATAATAATAAAGGTTTATAATTACAATTAAAATTTATTATTATAAAAAATAAATTTTCAATTCTTGCGTTTTAAAAAAACTTACTCTGCAATGAACCTTGACCATGCGATTGTAGTTGCATTTACTTTACGAGACCATGTAAATCCAGTTTCTTTGTTCTTACTACGATGGATATCTCCGATTCCGACGCCCATCGTAAAATACTGCAAAAGGTTTCCATCAAAATCGATTATCATTCCTGTGTGTAGTGTCGTCGCCTCATCCTCACCATTAAAAAAAGTGAGAAGGATCATAAAGTCATTGATAAAGTAATTCATGAAAACCTTTTGAAGCATGCAAAAATTGTATATTGGAATTCGATGAGCAACCTCCAATGGCTTTACAGTTCCGTTGGCGTATACGACTCTCAAGTGTATGTCGGGATCGATACATGTTTGGTCTGGGTTATTATAACGAGCAAGCTGTATCAAAAGGCTTCCATCGGTATCAGTAAAGCTATCAAAAAAGTACAACTCTTTGGATGGATCCTCATAATATGTTAGAGTTGTATCATATTGTGCAGAACAAAATATTATGAAGAATGTTAAAATAAGGATAAGATACAATGAATTAAACCACATATTTTTAATTTATTTGATAGCATAAAAAGTGAAAATGTCTAATTTATGAAATTCGAAAAAAGGGTTTATGAACTAGCATAAAAATGTAAAAGAATGCGTGATGAATGTAAATCGAAAAAAGGGTGTTAATTATTTTTTTTTAAATAATCCGAATAATTTATCACTAAAAATATAATTATGTTGTGACAAATTAATACATTGCATTAATTAAATTGACTAAAATAAGCAACATTATGAATAAACAAATGTGGTTATTGGTATTATGATATGCATCTCGCAGCTTTTTTATTAGTTAATTATACATATAAACAACAACAAAGCTCGGTAAGGCCTAAAAAGGCTTTTGGAATTCGCCAAATATTTTTACATAATGTTCCTTAGGATGAAAAAACAACCTGACAATGATCGACTTTGAAATTCAATTGTGCCAAACATTAATATATCTTTATTTATTGTATTGTAAAATTCGTTTTAAATTGACAATATGATTTATGTATATTTTTATTGTTATTAAATATGTATGTTTAATTCTATTTATCTTGAAAATTTTTTTTTTAATAATCCTTATTTTTTAAAATAAAAATCATAAAAAACTGTACAATAATTAAGGCTAATTAAAAAAAAGACCGCGAAGTAGGAAAATCGTTTACACCACACCACGATTACATGAAAACCATTTTTTCTTCGAGTTACGTCATTTACCATTAAATTACTAAAAAAAAATACGAATTTTTACGTTGAATTTGAATTATTAGGAGAAATATTTTGTGATCTAAAAATATTTGTTATCACATTTTTAACGCTTTTCATAAGTTGATTATTATTTGTTCCGGAAAAGTCGAAGGGGATTTCAAGGACAAATACATCGTAACCTCTACAAATAAGACCGAATATTATTGAAATTCCAGCGGAAATTAAAGAGAGTACCGGAACTGGATCATATATTACGGAATTATATTGCAAAAAAATGATCTACAAAAAAATTTTTTTTTTTAGATTTACGAAAAAATTTAATGTGAAAATTTATCAAGCATTGGCTTACTCTAGTAATAAATTGTGGTACGTCTTCAATGAATATATTGACTAAACTCCCCCAAAAGATTAAAACTTTGGCTTCTTCTGAAAGCGGTGCATCAAAGTGTGACAGACCCCCTATTTGTGACGTGATTATGTTCAATAGCCCTACATTTGCTGATGACAAAATTGTCAATATCGCCACATATTTTGTATTAGACATGAACCAATTCTGAAAGTCTTTATTTGTTGATTGTTCCTTCAAGATGATAAACAATGTGAATATCATGTTGAAAACTGTGGGAATTACCAAAAATACAACGCTAAATATAAAAATAATGATATCGTTAGAATCCATTCAAAAAGTGACAATGACGACGTAATGCTTTAATTACCTCGGGATGAAAAGCGAATAAATCATCTGAGAGTTGTATATGATAAATATCATATCTAATACAAAATCAGAAACAAGCACCGTGAAAGTTAAGACGAAAGCATTCCGCGCCTAAATTATTATATATGATCAATTAATAAAATAAAATCTCTTATAGGAACCAAAACGCAATTTATCAATTCCTTACTTCTTTGTTTCGGGATCTTACTATAAAGTATATACAAGTGACGAACAGAAATCCTCCTATGACATAGAATAAACTCAATTTCAAAGCATCGTCCCAGCCATCCGCTGATAAATAATATAACTATGCATTAATTATAATTTTTTTTTTAGTTTAGATGATGAAATAACATACGTGTAGTTTTGGCACCATAATTTTCGTCCAACATGCTAGATAAAGGATAATGTGACATAAGGGTGGAATATTTGTTGATGATCATTGCATTCACATCTTTTGCTATGTCTTTAGCACAGCGGATCAACTTTTTTGTTGGTTGTGTAATTTTTACTTGCAATAGAATGAAATTGTTAGGATTGTAAGGGTCATTTTGAAATTTTCCGGAATCAGGCGGTAGTCTGGACCTTTCAACGGGAATAATTTTCGAAAATTCCATCATCAGATCATCGTAAAATTTGTCGAATTCTTCAGTATTTAGAGACCTTAGAAGTTTGGACCCCTTGGCGTTAAACCTCAATAACATGGTAACTGGTGCTATAATAATAAAGGATTATAATAACCTTTATCAAATAAAATTCACTCGCATGTAATACTTTTATCACCATCACTTACATTGACATGATCCCGGATTATCCAACGACGCGTTTAAAAACCAAACTCTCTTATTTATTCCAGTTATGGGCTCTCCATATAGTTTAGAATCAACAAAATTATCATTTATTTGTATGAAATATGTTGCGCCGAGTTGATTAAAAGTACTACTTAGGATTTTTATGCCAACAGTATCGTTCATAATCGTCACGTAACTAGATAAACCGGAATATGTTTGGCGCAATAATTCATTATAGTTATCTTGAATTTGGTAAATTGATATATTACCATACGAAGGAATTATATCTTTGTCATATTTGATCGTGATGGTATCCAAATTGTCCCTTACCACATCATCAAACGGCGTCGTTTCCAGGATATTTGGATTATTGTATTTATATTCTGGATAATTAAATAAATAAATATACCAAAATAAGGAATTAATTAAACATCAACAAATAATTTGAATGCATAACTTACTCTCCAGAATGCTTCTATCACGCAAAGGTTCTGTTATGATCGTCCATGAAGATGAACTATTTTGGTATAGCATTCCCCACAATGTGTCATTATGCTCTAGATACGTATATTGTATCACGTCACCATTGAACCCCTTCCACTCCCCCTCATAATCTCCATTATGTGATAAGAAAATTCCCGCCTTTCTACCATTTTCCGACGGATAAATTACTAGAAAACCTCCATTAAATAAAACTGAAATAGATAAAATTTCGTTACTAGCAGCACCCATGTCGATCTGTTTATTATTTATGACGGAACCACTAGACAAGAAAGTCAACAAATAATATATTTTAGTTGTCGCTGCCTGATTCGGGATAACCATTTCGACTTGCATTAGACAGCTACAACCTTCCCCATTTGAATTTCGACAATACATAAAGCTTAAATTAAAATAATCAACTTGAGATTGATAAATTAAGTAGGTTAGACTGTTTTCATTTGCAACCTCGTCAACAAAATCAGCGTAAACTTCCCAGGCTGGATCCGATGCAATCGTCTTATTAAGTTTTGTCACAATCACGAAAACATTGCCACCATTACCCGAACTAAACAATTTGTACGATTTAATAACAGATGAAGGATTGGGTGATTTTATAAGACCCGATGCTGATTTTAAAATTTGTTTCGGGTTTGTGTGACTAAATCAAAATGAAGTGAAATTTGTATCATATTAATTATTATTATTACAATAATTCAAAATTCCCTAATTTTCATATTCATAAAAACTTACTCCGGTATATATCTTGACCATGCGATTGTAGTTGCATTAACTTGACGAGACCATGTAAACCCGTTTTCTGGATTTTTGCTGCGATTTATTCTTCCAATTCCAACACCAAACTGTAGATACTGCAAAAGGTTTCCATCGAAATCGATAACCATTCCTGTGTGCATTGAAGTATTTTCATTTTGTCCATCAAAATACGTCAGGAGGATCATATTTTTATTTACAAATATGTTTTTGAAAACTACTTGTAAGCTACAGAAGTTTGAATCTGGAATTTGGTGTGCAACTTCCAATGGTTTTACGGTACCATCGGAGTATACAATTCTTAGATGAATATCTGGATATATACATATATTTAGCGGTTGCTCGTAATAATGAGCAAATTGGATCAATAAGGTTCCATCTTTCTCGGTAGTAGAATCAAATAAATATAGTTCTTTTGATGGGTCCTCATAATGCGTTAATGCATTATACTGCGCATTACAAACGGTTTTATGAAAAATTATGAAGATAATCAGAACGACATGAAGTGATGAAATAATTTTCATTTCTTAAGTGATTAGCGCAAATAAAAAATCAATAAAAAAAAATATTTTAAAAAAAATGCAGTTGTAATTAATGAATTTTAAGTATTTTATAATGTATATATGTATATAAATAGTTTATTAGAAGCTCTTAGAATTCTATTAACTTCCGAGAACTAACACACGTTCTTATATTCATTATATTATTACTAAATATGTAAATTGCCGATTTTGTGTTACAATAAAATTAATTATATGCATTTTTATTTGTTTGAATTGTTTATTTTTGATAGACGGATATTTTTTATCGTATCAATCTAATTTTACTTTTGTTTATTTTATAATAATATAGCAAGCTGAAGAATTTTTATTCAAAAACTTCAAAAACTTTTCTTTTTTAATCAGACTTGATAATTTACTCTTCATAATATACATCTTGACAAATGATGTGACGCATTTTGTAAAATATTACTAATAGTTAAAGAAGGTGGGTTTTAAGTAAGTAACTCACATTATATATGCAACCTGTTTTGTGCGCTAAGTTTGAAAGGTTGTGCATAAATACACCAAAGATAAGGATTTCGGTATCCTTCTTAAAACTTGCAACGTTTAAGAATCCCTTCAATGATAGAAGTAAAAATCATCCTTACAGCAGAGAGGAATTGGATCGGATGAAATTCCAGACAGATATATTACCCTCACTTTAATTGAAGCTTAGTATCGCTCATTTTCATCTGCACGGTTTCCCAAATAAGAATTTCAGATATCTTCGTACTTTTATTACAAAAAACTGAAATTTTCATGATCAAAAAGTTTTCGGGTTCGTAATTAAATTATTCTTTTCCAGTTTAGAACGATATCCTTTATTTTCATTATTATTTAATTCCACCTTTTAAACTTTGATCTATATGGAAAATATGAATTGATGCAATTTCGTTGATCGTCACGTGATCGCGATAATCGGAAATTACTTTTTTGTTATCCTTCATATGCAGGCTGAATCGTGAATTTTTGATTGATGTTTTCCATTTCTATAAGTTAATTACAATGAGAGAAAATGTGATACCAAAGAAACAAATATAGATATTATTAGGTGGATTCAAAGCCTTTGCATGCGTGTACCCAAGCAGGGTCAAATAATATTAAAGCATTGTTGTATACAGATGTACTTGTTACATACAGTATATTAATTACATGTTGTAATCTATTAGGTCGGATAAATTATTGAACTTAACGGAGTTTATGAACTTACTATTTTTACAATTGCTGCGCCGCTTCGAATATTTGACTTTTGACATTTTGAATTCTGAATAATAACACTGTCCTGCAAGTCGGAGACGACATATTGTTAAATGTAGGAAAAGTTCCAATCAGATTTTAACTCATATATAAATATTAGAAATTAGCGCTAAATATTTAAAAAAAAAAAAAAATAATTATTTTTAGATAATAAATAAATATCTAGGAATTTTTTTAATTCTTCAACTAACTATTTAGATATCTGGAAAAGAACTTTAATATTATCAAAAAAAATCCGGGATGTTTTTATTTATTAACGCTAAGCTTTCTCGACGCTCTAAAGTTTCTATTATTTTTAATTGTATTTTTTTTTTTTTTTTTTTTTTTTAAAAAAAAAAACTATTTCTAATTATGAACATTCGACGCTAATTTAAATTTTATCATCGCATCGCATCGAGTCGATGATCAACATTTTTTTTTGGAAAACGAATTATTTCGAAACTTTACCTTAATAAACTTGATTTGAACTTTTAAAAATATACATAAAGTGCATTTTTGTTCGCTCTGCAAGTTTACTTTGAACGTCAAATGAGGTTTTTGTTACAAAATTTGACTTTACCGAATTTTTTGGCAAAAATGCGCCATATACATTAAACCATATAATCGGTGTAAACTGTCACACAGGAATTTATTAAAGCCTATCATTTCAACATCAAATAACGCAAAGCTTAAATATAAGTAAATAAATTTTAAGCTAAATTACATATACAAGGATTAAAACTAAATAAATAATTCTTCTTTTTTTTATTTAGGAAAAAAATTTAGCAGCTTTTAACCATAATATACTGGGATCTCTCGCACTTTGCTCATCATAATATAATCTATGTTTCGCAGGTTTATAAGCATATTCTAATATATCATCTTTATTGACATTATCATAAATCTCTTTTAATGTAATTCTTAATTCTGCAGGAAACATAAATGGAGGAGGAATTAAATCCTTTAACGTTTCATTTTGTAATATTCCGATATCATTTAATGCAAAGAATATCTGTTCAAGGTTAAGAACCTGACTACCGGGAAATGAAGCATATGATAATGGCACATCTTTGAAACCACCAACAGCGATAGTGCTCACATTAAACTTTTCTGCCATACGATGAGTAATCAATGAGCATGATGAACCACAAAATCCATTTGTTAATATAATAATATCTTCACTCTTCCATTTATATTCTTTAATATTTCCTGCTAACAATTTAACAAATAGACTAAATTCTTGTGCATATCTATCAACAAATCTCGATGTAAATGATGTAGTAGTTCCTCCTCTTACGTATGTATTATTACCAATAAATTCCTCAACCGATTGAAAACGACTTTCTGTATTTGGATCTAAGAAACCAAAAATGTTGAAAAATGAAGTTTTTCCGATTATATTATTCACTGTTTTTGCGGCCCACGTCATTAAATTTTTAGTATCAGAGCCTGGTGGCGGCATGGTTAATCCATTTAATTTCTTTTTTGCTTGTACCACATATGATTCTGATGATGCCGCTTCGAAGGTCGCTCGCGACAATTCGCTAACCACCATATCATTGTCAAATGATGGACTGGCATCTGGAAATAATAAGTAAACAAAGAATAATGCTAAATCTACATATCCTCCTCCATTCTCATGAAAATCCAGTACGATCTATCAAGATATGCGAGGAAGGTAAAGGAGTAAGTAATATTACTCAAGAATTTTTTTTTTTGAATTTTAATTTATAAATTAAATAATTACATACTTTTGTTACACCTCTATCTTCTAATAACCCAAATCCAATTTGCAATTCAAACATTTGGTTTATATAATCATTATCTGACGGTTTAATTGTTGGAACTGCCACAACCCCAGTCTTATTATCACTCAATATATAAAAAGTAGCCATCAATGTTACATAAACTGATTCACATTCAACCATTGGTTCATTATAAATTATTGGTTCAAATATTTTACTAAATTTAGCAGAGGCAATGGTTGGAGTCCTTTTTATTTTACAAAATTCATTATGAAAATCTTCAGATGTATTAAACCTATCATAATACTTTGATCCAATCTTCCATTCTCTTACAAATTTGGTTTTTTCATCATTGGCACATAATAGAGAGTATTCTGTTGATGATTTCTCTGGAAGAAAGTCGAGATTTCTTCTTAACGTGAATTTACTACTTCTAGAGATGATTCTGTCAGTCTCGTTATGTACTAATGTTGCAAGTGCTGCATTGAATCTTACACCCGCATCTTTTGAAATATCGAGCGTTGAATCCGCAAATTCTTTTATAACTTCCATTGAAGGTCTGCCATCAATGTGTGTCACTTCACAATCATTGTGACGACTGTCAATTTCATCATCGAATATTTTGATGATTTGCTCATCATTATTGTTAATTACTGAATATAAATAAAGTTGTTGACTATAAATGAATGCCGATAAGTAACATAATGGAATAAATCGCATATGAGCATCTTTCAATTCCTTAATTAATATGCTTAATTTTGACTGAAATAATTATTAAGAAAAACAGAATTAAAAAAAAATTATATTTAACGGAAAAATTTCTTAAAGAGAATTGTTTACCTACCATGAATTGATACTCTGATGTATAATTATTTAACAATAATTCATCCATTTCTTTAATCAAATCAACACCTCTAAATGAAAATCCTTGCTGAGGTTCTTCTTTTACCTTTGATAAATAAACAAAAAATCCTTGAACCGTTTTCTTTATCGTTTCGATTGTCTATAAAGAAATAAAATAAAATAAAATAAAAATTGTAACGCAATCTCTATCATTTTTTTTAAAAATTATTACAACGCGTATTTATTAACATACACTTTCAGCTATCCCTTTGTCATAAGGAAATGATTCAAGGCATTCTTTAACGTCGGTAAAATTTGCGCTAAATTCTGGATCTTTATTAGATATTTGATATTCAATTGCTATTCTCGCACATGCATCTTCATTCCTTGTTGTTTCGAGTGAAGTAGTTGACGATAATGTAAGTAACACGAAAATTAATGCGTGTAACAATAATTTCATTTTTAATATCGTTATTTAATAGAACAAAAAATTTAGGAGATGGCAAAATCGTCATTCAATTTATAGCGAAATTGAATTTTTATTTATTAGTATTTTACAATATCGGCTTCGTAGCGTAGTAATTGTAATTATTCAACTTGAACATCAAAAATGGAAATAGAAGAAAAGCCACGTGTGGCTAGAAAAAATGCTTAGTCGCATGAGCGCTATAAACTAATAATGAGGCTACTGGTCTTCTCAGCAGAGTTCGTATCCGTTATCCGTTAGACGGATATTCGAATATTCGGATTGATACAAAATTTTGGATCCAACGGATATCCCGAATATCTGATCAGCTTGCACAAACTTTTATTATAAATTGCCGATTTAATTAAAAAAACCTGAATTTTTTTGTGAGAAAAAATTACAAGTTAAAATTAAAATAAACTTATCGTGTTTATTATGAGTATTATACTTTAAAATTACTTTATACTGTAGCATTTTGTTTTACGAATACTATTTTATTTCGGTATAAAAAAAAACAACAATACAAATAAAATAATATGAATCACGAGAACTACGCAGTATCAAAAAAAATAAAGAGATCTCTAAAACAAAAGAAACAATAACAACAAAAAAAGCAATAAAATCAAAAAAGAAAGTTAAAAAAAAAACAAGAAAATCAAAAACTGAAACGGAACTTGTATCACAAGATTTACCACAAGTTCAACTTTAGGTAATTCAAATTTAATTAATATTGAGCGAAATAAGTTGGGAGGAAAAGATATCAACGAACAACCAGTTCTTGTTGATAGCATAAAACAAGATCATAGTTTGAAAATTTTTTCTAACAATAAGCAAAGTATTAATTGGCAAAGTTACCACCTACAGAAAAGTATAAGAAGCGTGTTAAATGTCTTGTCAAAATTTCTGGTCAACCTTGTGGATACATAATGAGATTGATAGTAGCACTGGAAACTTTATTTTTCATTTAGCAAAGCATCATATTACACGTGAGGCTGATCTTTCATAGAATAATGAAAATGTTGAAGAATCTCAAAGTAAAAATCGATTAGACAAGAAATTTGTTGAAATTATAATAGAAGATAATCAACCATTAAGAATTAGGAATGATGAAGGTTTTTGTGAATTTGTAAAAGAATTGGATCCATTTTACGAATTACCAAGTGATAAAAAAGAGAAATGCTAGTAAATAGTTATAATCATTATAAAAAAGAAATATTCATCTATTTCAACAAGGTATTATATCATATTCTTTAACTTTAGACCTTTGGAGATCAAGGAGCAGAGCTGCTTACTTAGTCGTAACTTATTCATATGTAAATATTCAATTTGAACTTAATAAAGCTACTTTAGTAATTAAAAAATTAAAATATCCATATACTAGCGAAAATATTGTTGATTGTCTTAATCAATTATTAAAAATTGGAATTTAGATAGAAAAATATTTACAATAATTATTGATAATAGAAGTAATATGGTCAAAGCTGATAATTTACTTAAAGATTCTAATAATATAATGCGTTTTCCATGTGCTGCTCATACACTATAATTAGTAATAAAAAAGGGCTTATTCCAGTAGAAAGGTTAGTTGCACAAGCAAAACACTTAATTAGTTTCTTCAATACACCAAAATCAACTGAAAAATTAATTGAAATTCAAAAAAACATGAACATAATCAGAAAGTGGTAAATGATTAATAACAAAAATTAAATCATCAGCTAATATTTAATATTCATTTTTAGAATTTAAGTGAAAATGATCACTACCTTAGATTCATCTACAATGTACCTACCCATTGGAACTCAAGAAAAGTCTGAAAAATATTCATGATTATATTGATGTAATGTCAATGATTATATTAAGAGATAAAAATACTAATACATGAAAAGATGAAAAAAACTTAATGAAATCAACCTCACTCAAGATGAGTAAGTTGTCATTAAATAAATAATTAAAATACTAGAACCATTTGCATCAGAAACTAAGCTTCTTAGAGGTAGTAAATATGCAGTAATAAGCTTTATGTATAATGAAATTACAGAAATTACAGAATTATTATTAGTTCTAATAAAATTGATCTAAGGAGATTGATCTCACTAATCCTATTACAATCTTTGACAATGATATTGGTATTGAATATTCTAATGATAATGCAGTGATAGACTATTTTCTGATGCAGGGAATATGATAACAGTTAGGCATGCCAATTTATTACCATCTATTTTTGAACATCTAGTATTTTGTGGCGTCTGATTGGTAAGATTTTTCCAGAATCTGATTAAGTTGTATTTGGTATAGTAGTTAAATTTCATTTGTAGGACAAAAATTATGTACTCGTATATTAAATATAAATCTTCAATAAATAAATCATTTTGTTCTACAATATCTATCGTAAATGCTAATTACTATAAATGACCAACCATTTAACAACTAATCATATCGGCATCAGCAATAAATTTTTTGAAAGTATCGGCGCTAAATTAGCCATTATCGTAAATCGAGATTTTTATTTATGTCTATATGCTAAATGTAACTGTATCAATAAATAAAAAATTGATTTATTTTTAATTATAACAAATAAATGTTAATTTTTATATAGATTACAGATTATCGACCAATTTTTATTATTAGATTAAACAATCATTGCATATTATATATATACTTTTAAAACAAAATGTTTAATATCATTTTCTATTTATTGCAATTTCTATTATTTATTGTTAAAAATCAATACGATAGTTGTATATTTTTAATATTGATCAGCAATGATATTACTATAAAATAAAATTATTTCTTTTTTTTTTTTAAAGTGCCGTAGTTTCGCAAAAACTTTATTGAAGAATAATTAAAAAAATTACATATATTCAGAATTTACAAAATCTCTATCGAAATAATTATAAAACTATCTAAATCAAGATAAATTGACTGGATATCCGGATAATATTCGGATTAAATTGGCTGGATATCCGGATTGGACGGATACAAGATAATCAGACATCCGGATGGACGGATATAAATCTACTTCGCTACAACGGGCCGTAATAAATCATAAATATTGCCAAGACAAGCCACCTATAAAAAATTTTCGCCCGAATATTTACATTATTTTCCGCCGCTTACGTGTTAAAATGAGCACTGCACGGAAAAAACATGGAAAACAAAACACGGATCAATTTTTTTTATATAGAGCTAAGACAAGCCTCCTGTCCGATCAGCCACTACGGGATTAAGCGATTCCTGCAAAACATTGTAATAACCTTTACCATGCTTTAGAATAGCAATCCCTTTTCTTTAAAGATTAAAGCGTTCAAATATAATATACGTTGAAAAACAATCACTTATTATTTTGGTTGATATTCGTAAACAAGGCAAATTCTTATAGGATCAAGTGTAACATATTGTTCAATAATTATTTGAGCTAATGCAACGAATTTGATTGGTTTAACATTTATCTCATAGGTAACGGTGATTATACAAGAAACTTGTTTATTTAATTCGTCTTGTTGTCGTTTAAACTAGCATTTACTAGAAAACTTAGATGATCAGCGATTAATAATAATAACGGAAGATATTTTTTAATGAAGTAAATATGATGAAAATTTTATTTAATAAAATCAATAATCAAGTAATCAACGCTAGATAAATTTATTAGACAAATGCAATTGCGAAATAAATTCGACTCAATGCATTGCTCTTATAATTAAGTCAAAAAGGCAACTTTTTATAATTTCAAAATATAAGAACAAATTGACTAGAGGACATTTTGATAAGTGTCCATTTTGCCGGAGGACAATTCGCCCCGTGAGAAATTGAGAGTTTTACCAACATTGAAAATACATTTCATTGGTTTAAATACGTGACAAAATTCGAAATTTTTTTTTGACAAGCTTATAAATGTATAAATGTGAATTCAAAATATTTTATTCTTAAAAACAATATTTATAGAAACCTGAAATTGGTGCATAAATTGAATATAAGCATATTCTTTTTTATTAAAACTTTCTTAATTTTGAAAACATAATGTGTGTGAATTTTAAAATTCTTAATTCATAACATACTTTTTATCTTAAATTAAAAATCATTAACTAAAAAAATAATGGCATATTAACATATTTTTTATCTGAATTAACTAAGAAATAATGGCATATTTTTTTATCTGACGTCTCAAAATTTACAACGAACTTAAGATATTAGAATATTATATTTCTAAATTCTTTGATAATAATATTGACCCAAGAATCTCCTCAACATATAACTGATACTTCTTATGCCGATTCTAAATTAAAATTTCAATTTATTAAAAATACTTTTTCAAAATTTATTATTAAAAGAAATAAATTTACCTCATGATTCTGTTTAATATTTTTCCACCTATTTGCGCACTGTTTCTCAGAATAATTGTTGTAGTTATTTTTGCGTAGCATAATGGAGGCACCTTTCCAGAGAGGCATTCTGACTTTTCCTGCTGTAGAACCACGTTTTTTTAGCTCAAGAATCAATTTCTTATATTTTTTCAAATATTTAAGCAACATTACAGTTGGTTCATCTTTCCATTTACATGGAGTTTTTTTATTTTTATTTTTTAATTGAGCCTCTTCACAACTTTCACCAGTTTGGGAACTTTCATTATTATAAGGTTCGATAGAAGCGCCAAAACCTAATGAAGAAAAATAACGTTATTTTGTTATTAATATAGTTAGTACCAAAAAGATAAAAATTCATCATCTCAGGTATGAATAAGAAATTTTAAAATGATAAAAGTTTCATATTATGTATAAAAAATATTTACCTTGATTATTTTGATAATCAGAAATACTGTTGGAAGCTGTAAATGAAATGAGAAGTATAAGGTTGGTCAGTTAGATATATCATTACTAGATTGATTCACTAGTTTGTAATGTAAGGTCTAGAATAATTATTACTTTGAATATTGTTTCTATAATTATCAGACATGTCTGACAGATTATAGGGTCCAGTAGCTGTTGAAGGCAATAAAAAAGAAGGAAATTTTGATGTAATTCCGCAGCAATTATTAGTTTGAAGCGAATGAAAAATAATATAACGATCAATATATTTTTGTTGTAAATAGCTTCCATTGTTGACATTTGCTGGTACGATAATTTGAGAAGGTCCAGCAGCTGCTGAAAGCGTTAAAATTTTGATGCAGTCCCGTTGTTATTATTAATTTGAAGAAAATGAAAAGGTAATTATAACGATCATTCTTTCTTTTTAAAAATTAAAAAAAAAATAATGTAATATTTATTACCTTGATGAATATAGCTTTCATAGATTAAATTTACTGGAACATCAAAGTCAGTAGCTGTTGAAGGCGGCAAAAAAGAAGAAAGAGTTGGATGCAATTCCGCAGCTTTTATTTAAAAAAAAATAATATAACGAAGTTACCATCTTGAAGAATATTAAAAAGACTAATGCAAAGTTTTTAACATATTATACCAAATAAATACTGAAAATTATCATCTGTGTAATAATAAGGTTGTTGAAGATTATGATCAGACATAGAATATATTTGTCGCACATCTAGATCTATCATTGTAAATTATTAGTTTAGTTAATAAGTTTAAGCAAAATGCAAAGTTTATTAAAAGTTCAAGAAATATTTAAGTACTTGGGTCTTGTGAATACATATCAATATATATACGTATACTTTATAAATATACAAATTTGAAGAGATCTGAGGAAAATATTTCTTTCAATACTTGTATATTTATAAATATAATTATCGAATTGAATTGAGTATATAATAACCTGATTAGAATTGGGATTAACTACGATCCAATCTCTTTGATGTGAAAATAAATCAATTTAATCGACTAATTCTAACTTGTATTCGCTTTGGACTTTATATAGAATTTTTTCATATCTTTAAAATTTCGATTGGCTTATAATTTTTACTAAGCAAACAAAAAAAAGTTATGAAGTTAACCATAAATATAATTTTAGGCGTTTATAATAAATATAATTGTTCCGAAATTTATGTTATATTAAGCTTGCTATTTAATTAAAAATTGCATTTAATGAAATTTAATCTTGAAAGTTCGGCAAGGTTTCTCAAGAGATCAGATTCATTGTCGAATGACGTGATTTGGGATTGAATTTTAGGTTGAATTCGTATGAATTAACATTAATGAAATCCAATAGTAAACAATGTATGAATATGCATGCCTTCGAATTGATTCGAGTAACGTGATTCGAAAAATCTAATACAAAGTCAGATTAGCACTGGCGAAAGGCGTAGTAACTGCGGAAGATATAAGTGGCACCGACAAAAATTTAGCGATCACGTGATAATAGGCCTGCATTATGCATAACCCCTAACGCTAACCCTAAATCTAAAGGGTGCGAGTGATAGAATGTGATAAAAATGATTTCACGCCTAATATAATTCTAATAAATAGTACATACAAAATTCCCAACCCTGGTTATAGGTTTATCATAATGATACAACTGAAATTGTATGAAAAGTTTTAGTCTTATTATTCGGTTAAGTTATTATATGATAAAATATCTTCTAGATAATAATATTTCTTTTTAAGTTATCTATTTTTTTTTAAAAATTTAATTGCAAGTTAATAATTCTAAGCATTATCCAAATTCCCATTATTTTATAATCAATTAACAATTAATTATTATTCTTAAACTTTCAATTAATGTAAGTATAATTGAAAATTTAATTGAAAAAATTCATTGAATTCTTTTTATATTTATTAATTTTACAGCTAATATAAACTATTAATAATTTTTCAGTCATAAGTGATTCACGAATTATGAAATTAGCCGTAAAATAGAAACTTTATAATATGGGTTTTAAAAATAATAACATATAAGAGGTTTGCTAAAAAAAATAAAATTCTGAGAACTTTTGATTAAAATTTTATTCTTATCAACAAAAATCAAAATTTTATTAAATAAATTCATAAATCCCATTTTTTTTAGCAAATATTTCACATGTTTAAGAATTTATAACTTATATATTTTTTTATTAGCATGTTTTTATATATAGCTTATACATTAAAAGATTATGCATTATTTTAAAAACATTTGACAATAATTGTTTTTCATATTAATTGCAAATGATTAAATTTTCAATATCAGTTAAATTACTGTTATTATAATTTTTTTCTGTGGCTTATTAAAAGAATTATGATTGTGTAATTTGATATTAATTATAGTTATAAAACTAAAATGAACAAAAAAACTACATATAAGCTTATCATGTTTAATAAAGATACTATAATTCTATTTAAATGATCTTTATATCTCAGTAAATTATTTGATTTTTCTATGATATAAACAGCTTAGTCACATCCAATGATTTTTAACATTTTTAAAACATAAAAGAATTTTTTGAATTATATAACTATCAAAAAAAAATACATTACTACATAGCCTTTAATATAGTCTTTAAGGTAACATATTTTTTTTTCCTTCTATTATAAAATTTTTTAGTTAAGTTTTTTTAACACTAATATTAATAGTGATAAAGGGATTTTTAGTACTACTGATATCATGTGAATGAATATAATTTATGCTAATCATGCACATGACCATATAGATTGGAAAAAAACTTATTTTTACTATCGCATATTACCCAATTCTTCCAAAACAGTTTCAGGAATCTATAATAAAACCAATACTACTTAATTGCAAAGATAGCTACCTTACCTAAAAGTCTAAGCTCGTATGTACTTATGTATTATGCAGAACAATATGAAAACTAATGAACTTTTATTAGTCTAATGGAATTTGATACATACGATATAACTTTCTTAATATGATTGTGCTAATAATGATAGTAGAGACATGTGTATCAATTTGTCTTTACCTAAAAGGACTCAATATAATTAAATTTACAGTAAAATTTTAGGTAGTATATGCACATATGTCCTGCTACCTCAATAACCTAAAAAGATAAGTATTTTAAAATTATATTTGTTATGCTTGAATAGTAAATATCATTAATTACATATTATTAATCATAACTTACCTTCTGTATATGCATCTTTTGTGATATAAAGTCGGGTTGAACAAAAAGGATGCATATTACGCAACAATCTAATTTATTTGGATTAGAATTATGTTGCATATACACATGGCATTTTCTCTTCAACCCTAGTATCTATAAGCCATATTCTTCAAGAACTCGTTGAATATCTTTGGGTTTAACTACACTATTAACACCTGTAAATGTCATGACATAAGGCAAACCATCAGGAATTGTATCATTACAGAGGAGAGGTTATTTTTCACAGTCTTTCATATTCATTCTTAAAACTATTGATGCATCATCAGCAAATGCATTATGATTGCAACTGTTATTAAACATGAATAGTATAACCTTTCCTAAATGAGTATGATCAAATATAGGGATAGCCACTCTTTTACTTGTTTAATGATGTCTTTATTTGTTTACTAGTTATCACGATTCATATCATAATATATTGTAATACAAGATTTAGTATACATAAGCTGCTTCCATCAGAAAGTAAATCAATAAAACACAACTGAAGTTTCATAAGATTCTCATTTTATAGTTAACCATTTTTCACTTTCTTTTAAAATATCACATATCATTCCTTCTGAAATATTAAATTCTAGGGAAAGGTCTTTATTTTTAGGCTTTAGTTTCTGCAACTTTTTTAAACAAATTTTCTGTTTTTGGGTACCTATAAGTGAAGCTTTAGTTCGTTTTAATTCTTTGGGCATTTTAATAAATGATTGATCAAAAAATTAAGTTCTTTTCAAATATTTAAATTATTAATTTATATTTTATTAAAATTTTACTGACTGTAATATTTCCTTTAATAGTAATACAAGAAAAAAATTCGCTATATTCCTTAAATTTATTATAAAAATTTGTTATATAAAATACTTTATTAATAAAAGTTTCATTTGTTATACTTTGTTAGATATTCAATTTATTATACATAATAGTAAGTTTTATTATAAAAATTTGTTATATTTAATAAATTTATTTAATAAAATTTGGGATCACTCATATAATTCGCTATAATAAAAAATTCAGAATATAGAAATTCGTTATAATGAGATTCAACTGTATCAATTTTAGGAGACAGATAAGAAATTGTGAATATCCAGATATTTATGAATATCTGTGCAGATATCTGCTGTGATTAGCTTTATATTACCTAGATGATTTTTAAAATATGAAAAAATTTAAATGTATGCGTGATAGTGTAATATTTTGCATTTTTAGTTTAGTTTGTTATAATAATGTCTAATTAAAAGCTTTTACATTAAGAAAATCTGACTCCTAAAACAAATAGTTCAAAAAGACTAAGACAAGGAGCGTATGAATAATTAAACCAATAAAATTTAGCTCTAAATAGACCTATAATTGAGTTAGATTTAAACATAGACATAAATAATTAGCAGAAAACTGATAAAAATAATATAAAGCGCAATAAAATTTCAATAAAAGTTGATTTAAATAAAATAACCAGTTAGTTTTAAAACTACCGGGACTAAGTTGGATATAGAGTTATTTTGATTAATATGATCCAACTGAACAATACAAAAGGATTATAAAGTGTTTAATTCAAGTTTAACAGAAAAATAATGTAGAACTATGTGATCATTTTATGGATTCTAATAATTCCACTGGAAATTTTATTGTTTATCTTACTACACATCAAATTATTAAGAAAAGTCACAAAAGAAAAATGAATGCAATATAAAATAATAGCTGATTATCATAACTTCATATAGATAAAATTATTCAAAACAATCCAGATATTAAAAGTTGTTAGAACTGAAAATTTGTTGAAATCTTAGTTAAGGATAATAATAGATCAATTAGTATGTGTAGTAATGAAGGTTTTATGAAATTTATTCATGAATTATCAATTTCTAAGTAATAAAACAGTTTAACAATTACTAGCTAGAACATACAATCAAATTAAAGTTGTTTTAACAAAAAAATTAAATGATGATGTTATTTTCTGTTCTATAACAAATAATTTATGAACAGCATGAAGTAAAAGTGGATATATTAGTGTTATATGCTCCTTTATTGATAGTTTTGATATTTGTGAAGTGACCTTAGCAGTTCAATATATTTTCTATTTTTACACTAGTGATAATATTTGTAAAGTTTTATACAATATTATTTCTAATTGTAATCTGACTGGTAAAGTCTTTATAATAACAATTGACAATGATTCCAATATGGTTAAAGTTGGAAATTTAATGAATGAACCTGTAAGACTTCTTTATGTAGCACATATATTACAACTAGTCATAGAAAAGAATTAGTACCAGCTAAAGTTTTAATTGCACAAGCCAAAAGGTTAATTAATTTTTTTACAATATCTAAACAAATAGAAAAATTACTAGAAATTCAAAAAAAAATACCAATTATATTAATAATAATGAGATATGTTAATTCATTTTATTAATTTAATGAATGCATTAATAGTTTATTAAATAAATAAATTCTGTTAAATATTTTATTATTTATTTATAAATAAAAAATCTAAT